ATAAAATTATTTCAATGTGTTTGAAAAAATGCTACATATATTTAAAAACTCGCTGCTTATAAATTAAAAAAAACTTATATTTCAGGATTAACTCGACCAGCGTTATACCCGTTTGCAGGAGGTCAATATCCTTACCCAATGCTGAGTTCAGATATGTCTCAAGTGGCATCATGGTATGTTTACTATAATGATCTTTAAGTTGTAATTAATATACATTTATTTTTAGGCACACTCCTTCCGTTTACTCTGCATCTAGTTTTAGAACTCCTTATCCCTCCTCATTACCGATAAATACTACAATTGCAAGGTAATATTTTGATTTTGGGACATTACAAGTATTTTAAGCCACCCATGCTTCTATGAATCGAAAAAAAAATAGCTTATACCCTTTTAATGCATGTTTATTATACCCCTAACTCGTAGAGTAAAAGGGTAAACTAGGTTCGTTGAAAAGTATGTAACAGGCAGAAGGAAACGTTTCCAACCATATAAAGTTTATATATTCTTGATCGGGATCAATCACCGAGTTGATCTGATCATGCCCGTCTGTCGGTCCGTCTGTCCTTATGAACGCCTCGATTCTCTAGAATGTTGAGAATTAAGTACGTAAGTTTGTTTCCAAATGTTGCCACGCCCAAAAACAGCCCATATTTGTCACTCCCACACTTTTGAAAAATGTTGTGATATTTTTTCACTTATGTATCTTGTAAGTTTCTATAGATTTGCCAAAAAACTTTTTGCACGCCCACTCCAACGCCCACAAACAGCACAAAATATTCAATAATATTAAAGTTTTTTCATTTAATTATTTTTTCCCCAATTTCTACTGATATTCCAGAAAATTTTGAAATTTCTCGTTTGTACGTTTGAGCAATGGGTATCTGATAGTCGGGGAACTCGACTATAACTTTCTATCTTGTTCTGATTTAACATGTACATATGTGACTTGTTATGAAAACGTTTTTGTTGTCCCGCTTAACTATGTGCACTTTTTTTTATAAATTTGAATAGCCATTTAAAAACTATGAATACCATTCTTATAACGAGTCAATATAGCCCCATGCATTCGTATTTTGTTTCCCAAAGAAACCAAATAGTAAATAATAATAGTAATAATAATATATAATAATAATTATATAAATATAAATAAATAATAAATGAATAATGGTTTCTGCTTACATAATTGCAAAAAAATGTTTAATAATTTTGTGGTGTCTTTAGGTCCAGATTCTTCATTTCAGACGTTTGGCTCACCACAGGCTGTAATTAAATACTGTACTTTGGGAGAAAAAGAGTATATTGCATTTATTAAATAGGGTAGTAAGAAGCATTTCCGACCCTATGAAGTTTATATTTTTAATGATAACTGATAAGGTCATTATACCCTTAAAATACATGACCCGGCAGACCAACTTACAGAATAATGGTTTTCCAACAATAATTTTGTTGGAATAAATTAAACAATTTTGTTATATTTCTGTGTGCGGTGGCTAAGTTGTCATTAAATCTCCAATTTTTAATGTTATATTTCCAAAGAATACAATTTTTTACACTTTATTTGCAGTGATTTTCCATTCCGTTTTTCACCTAGCCTTTTGCCTTCAGTACATGCCACATCGCACCACGTTATAAATGCTCATGCTGCTATTGTGGGGGTTAGCTCAAAACAAGAATGTGGTGTTCAGGACCCAACAACGAATAATAGATATCCAAGGTAAGCAAGTTACAAATATAAAAAAAATAAAAACGGATACCATAACGATAATTTTAATAATAAACTTTTAATATTTAACTGAGTGTTAGGCATTCCCATTTTACTCAGTTGAAATTTTATTTATTTATGCCGCTTTACAGTTTAATTTTGTGGGTGGGAATTTTACATCCGCCATCTTGAATTCACCAATGGCTTTTTTCAATGCATATACACACATAAGGTACGAATAGACAGACTTCTAACTATATATAAACTCTCTCATTGGTCCTCTCATGGATATAGCGCCTGCGCATTGAAGACCAACCCCTAAAATGAATTTTGAGTTTCATTTCCCCTTGACTTTAAAGTTCTTCATCATATTATTTCGAAAATTTACATAAACTCTTGGTGAATTAGCATATTTAAGTTATGTTTAAATGAGCAATTAATAATAATTTCCTTTAAAATGTATTACTTTAATTAAATTAGGCTATACATTTATTTTCCTTCTGAAAAAGAATGAACAGCTTCTCCCATACAAGTTACTTGGATTATATATTTACTAATTTACTAAATTTATTATTTGTGTTTTACATTATTTCAACGTTGTTTCCTTTATCTGAAAATGTTCAAACAATATACGTAAAACAAGAATGAAGTTATCTGAGTCAGCTTATAATCATTAGTTTTTGGCATTTAAACAGTGAATTGATATTCAAAACAATATTACATTTACTGTAACTATTACAGTCGAAATTGTTAAATAAAAGATAAAATGCAAATATTTAAACTGTTCAATCAAAAACCAAAAATTAGTTATACTCATTTTTATACCTGTACCGGTTAGAAGGGTATACTAGATTCGTTTTCGAGTCTATTAATTTATATATATTCTAAATCGGAGTATGCAGATTGTAGAGACGTAGATGCAGCACAAGTTAGTTTCAGAAGATTGACATGCCAACAAACTGCCAGGCCCAAATTTTTGGAAAATATTTTGATTTTATTATTTATTCTAGTGAATTTCTATCGATAAAAAAACTTATTTATCACTGGCGCCCACTTACCGCCTAAAACTGTACATCAAATGGCGTAATATTGCAACGTATACACTTTTCAAAAATGCTTTGTTTTAGTTTCAGAGCTTGGTGCGCAAAAAATATAGAGCCGTAGTATTAAAAATGTGTTTTGAATGTCTCAACAGAACCATCTTGACCGAAACGTATGTGAAAACTCTGAAACTTACATAAGATTAATTTATTGGTCTTTCTGTGTGTGTCGCCTCGTATAATATCTTAACTTTAGACTTGGAGCTCTTAAGCTTAACCCCTCTTGTTTTACTACTTTTTAAAAATACGTTAGCTTATCACAGGTTCTAAACAGATTAAGCTTTGGAATGTGTTATATGTCCTTATAAACGGGGTTTTCAACGTATTTTGGCACGGATCCTTCACATAATTTACATACCATTTTAAAATTAGAAAATTTTAGTTATAATATCGTATTTTTTAGAAGTTTTGGAAGTTTTTTCAGAAACGGTCATAACAGATTCGCACCTCAGTTACCTTTATCTTATCTCGTAAACTTTCAAAATACATAACACAATATATATGACATATGCAACATTTTAATAGAGTCCTATTCGGATTTCAAACACTTCTATTTATACCTGTTACTCGTAGAGTAAAAGGGTATACTAGATTTGTTGAAATGTATGTAACATTTAACAAATAAATTATATTCTGGATCAAAAGCCAAGTCAATCTGCCTATGTCCGTCGGTCAGTTTTGAAATAATACTCAAGACTACGAAAATACAAGTAATGCAAGAAGTAAAATTGTATACTAGATTCGTTGAATAGTATGTAACAGGCATTTCCGATATAAAGTATATATATTCTTGATCAGGATCAATAGCCGAGTCGTTTGTCCGTATGAACGCCTCGTTCTCAGGAACTACAAAAGCTAGAATGTTAAGATTAAGCACGCAGCTTCCAGAGACTTAGACGCAGCGCTACGTCCCACTCTAAGGCCACAAACCGCACAAAACTGTCACGGCCACACTTTCGAAAAATGTTGTTAAATTTGTTCAGTTTTGTATATATATATGGTAAATCTATAGAAAGATTTGCAACAAAAACTTTTTGCCACGCCCATTCCAACGCCCACAAACCGCCTAAAACTGTCACGCCCACACTTTTGAAAAAAGTGATATTTTTTCATTTTTTTGTATGTCTTTCTATATTTTTTATATAATTTCTATAGATTTGCCAAAATATTTTTTGCCACGCCCGCTCTAACGCCCACAAATCGACAAAACTCTCTTCCCACACTTTTACAGCATTTTTAAGTTTCTTTTCATTTAATTATTTTTTTTCCCATTTTCTACCGATATTCCAGAAAATTTTAAAAATCTCGTTAGCACTTCCACTAGCTGAGTAACGGGTATCTGATAGTAGGGGAACTTGACTATAACATTATATCTTGTTTTATCCAATACCGAAAAGAAACTTTCTTCAAAACGCATTAACGAATATCTAGTTTAATCCTCTTTATCAAAAGCCTTAAATAACAATCGGAATTTAAGTACCACTTTTTTAATCGTTTTCAGTATATAAGTGCATAAATAAATGTTAAACTTATAACCTCGAATAAATAATTCACAGTAATAATATTTTCCATAAACCCAGAAATTCTAACTTCGATAACATTTAGTTATCACGATAGTAAGTTACTTTATACTGTGGTAAAAGTCTAGTACAATAATGTATTCCTAGATATGATTTTGACATGTTGCGCCATCTACATCTGAAGACACTCAAATGTTACATGTATTGTTTAATATATTGTCAGGTAAAGGTAATGTAACATGAATATGAAATTAATTAAAAAATTACTTTAAATCTTGACCAAGATAATTTAAATGATAGGGGAATCTATTTTGACAAATTCTTCATTTATGAACAGAGAGGAAGGGCCCACAATCTATTTGCTATTTGCAAGTAAAATATTTGTAAAAAAAATGTACATAATTATGCGATTTTACATGGAAAAGTACATGCGCTTCAGTAAAAGTTTACATAACACAGAAGTTTTTTTATTGATCTAGATTTAACCATTTTATTTTTTCTTTGGATTATTAAATAGTAATTTTAATAAAAATGTGTTCATTTTAATTGAAAACTCTTTACAAAGAACGTATCAAAGTGTATGCGCAATGGTTCTCACGCATTTATTTCCTTTGGATCCGATGTCTCGTCCTTGTCTCTCTCTTGTTCGTTAAGACTTCGTACACTTTTATCGTTAAGTTTTATTTTTAAAGGCCGAAAGAGAGTAAATCAGACAATTGTTGTGGCAGTATATACAATTTTGCGAAAATTTATATAAGTGCACTATCTAAAGAGAAGCCTTGCCCACAAATAGTTGAAAAATATTCTGAAATAAAAACAACAAATGAAAACATAAAATTAAAAACAATCTTTATTCGTTTTGTCCATTAGAGAATGACTACAATAATATACCAAAATATATGTTAAATAAAAGTGTTAAAAAATTTGTGTCAACTTCTGTTTTCATACTTACTATAATAATAACATAGTACTTATTGATTTAGTAATATAAGGTAAAAGTACAGTTAAATATGTCCAAAAAAATGGAGACAGTATTTAAAGCAAATATGGACCATATTACTAGTGAACTAAATAAGTAAAATAAATTTTATTAAATGAAAATAATGAAAAAATAAAGCAAAACAAAACAAAATATTTATATGGCCTTGCATTGTAACTGGCGGCAACAGGGCAACGTTAATTAACGCAGTGATTTACATACAATTAAATAAAAACAAATAAATGCTAGTTATGACCTAACATATAGAAACTCACATAAAAATAACTGGATTATCAAAGAAATATTACGTTGTCAAAATCTCTCTAATAGTGCAAGAAATTATTATAAGCATCGAACCCTTTATAAAAAGAAAGAATGTTGTACAATGTGGGCTTTAAAAAGTCGTAACTTAATTAAATTGTAGTCATCAAGACTACTAAGATTATGAAAGTTAACAGAAGTATTTAAAATATAGACAAATTAAAGCGAAATTCTTTCGAAATGGAATGTATCCAATAATTAATATACTTAAAGTATAAAAAAAGTTAACTAATGGTTGACACCCGACGGATTATAACAGTAGGTTACTACAAATACCTATAATGCCACACTGTGAAACATCTAATGGTGAATGGACTTTGAACTCAAACGAATTAAACAATTACCAGCAAAATAGGCGCAATGAGGAACTACAAAGGAAGAAAAGTCAATCCAAAGCCAATAAAAAATCGTCAATCAATTTGAAAACGGGACAGGGGACTGTTAGTGGGTTCAATGACCAATATACGCAAATTACTGACAACATAATAGAACAAAATAATTGCAATGATTTGGAAAACATCTTTATTGTACCATCAAGTAGTTCAGGCGGAATGGAGTCATCGTTATCCGAACTCCTTTTAATTCCGCCAAAAAAAATTTCTCATCCTTGGCAAACCGCAGAAGAAAAAGAAAGTTGGCAAAATGACAGTTTTCGCCAACGAAATGAAATGTTTTCTTGTATATATACAAATAGTATGCTAAATCAGCAACAATGCCCGCAGCAACAGCTTTTGGCCACACAACTTTTATATGCTCGGCTTCTTCGGTCTCAGCTAGCTGAACAGGAATCTCAGTCGAATAAATCAAAGATGGTTCATTATTCAGGATCGAAAAAGACCATGCTTCGGCAAAATGAGCTTCTATCAACCCCATCTTCGCAGGATAATAATAACAATATTAAGTTAATAAATGATATCGAAAACAGCTTAAGCTGTGTAGATCCCCATTTGTTTGATTTATCTAATGTTCACCAAAGTCAAAGAGCAGAACACAAAAATAAGCAAGAAGATAAAAATTGTTACTCACCAAACTTAAAATCGAACAAGGAAGCCATAGATGGGTACGACTTACAACACACATTTGATTTTATCAGAGAGCAAAAAAACGTATTCATCGACATTATAAAAAAACTCGAAAATCTCTCCGAGATCTCAGGTAAATTTAGGAAAAGGTTAAGTGTGCGTCAAGGTCACATTGATGTAAATTATGGCTCTGATTCAGCCCTTGAGGAAAGTGTAGGAAGGCAAATAGATGGAAATCGCAAGTCTATTGAAAGTTTATTGGAAGAGGTAAAACGATTGTATAATCAATGGAGCAGCGCTGAGCTCTATTATGTTCGCAGCTTACAACGCTTGGGACTAACATCAGAGGATGGAGGTGAATATACACATACACCAACACATACTATTATGGCATTGGCTGCTATAGCACTGTCTAATGAAAGTGGTATTTCCCTAGAGAAAACATCTACAGTGCACTCTAAGCTCCTGGATGTTGATAGCGAGTCCGATTTGTTTTTGACCTCAGCAAAACCTAAAACGTTGGTCGAAATAGAGGATATAATATTACAACTCGCATCATCTCTTAATATGCCTCAATCTAACGCTGCTAGTACCACTCCTGGGGCCTACAGTGATAGTGTTAAAAGCGATTGCGAAGAATCAGACTCAGCACCCACTTGCATTTGGCATTCGACAAGTCGAACCTTTCGCCGCAAAAATGAGGTAGAGCCTTGTAGCACTGCAGCTGAGATTATTTTAGAATATGCTTCACTGTCTTCGACTTCTAACTGTGACACCTCACGCTTGCTTACATCTGCATCAAATATTACAGATGTTACTGAAAATTATAATGTCACAACACAATTGCCTATTATGTTTAATTATAATCGAGAAAGTTCAGCTGTGTCAATTATTACCGATCCTTCCATTTTTCCTGAGTTTTCTACTGCACCTTCACCTCCGTCGACTAGTAGTAATAGTGGATGCTCTACTGGAATTTTCGGCATGAGTCAAAATCGAAGAAAACAAAGACTTGCAAAGCGCATTGAAACTTTGACTACAAATTCTTTTAAATCGGATGCAATAAGGGGACATGGTGACAAAGAAAGCACCAATCAGCTAAAAATATTGCCATCAATTACAGCATCGACAACTGAAAATGTTTCCCATTTAATTACTAAGACATTGTCTTCGCCTAATGTCTCTTTAAGAGCGCAGGAACATTCCATTACTAACTTTTTTAAGGAACGCATAAGCGCTTTACAGGCGAATACCGGATCAATGAAGTCTGAAATTTTTCCAATGCTAGATGCCCCATACGACTTAAGTGTTGGAAGCAAGACAAAACACATGTAATTTTATATCGCCTTACTTAGTTAAACATAAGAACTAAGAACATAAAAACCCCTTTATTTCTTTGTAAAGCTGTTGAAGTCGATGCTCACTCCCAAAATTACCTATTTTTTTAGTGGACTGATGATAATTGCAAGCAGCTTTTTGTTGCAAATTATCAAACAAATTTAGTACATTAAATAAATTTGTTACAAATTTTTAAAGGGTGTGCTTCGATTTCTAAAACATTATATAATATATTTTTTTCTGTTTATATGGAATTTTCATTGTGTAGACTTTTTATTTTTTCGACTATAATACTAATATGCTTATATTTAAAAGTATTTCATAATCACCGGTTTTTTTAAAAACTTAAGGTGAAGATACTATAAAGTAAGAAAATGGGACTCTACATTTTTGTAGTATTACCGGCCAAAACTGTCCCGCCTACAAAACAATTTTGGCACCTTAAACAATCCGAACACACTCGAAAAGTTTTCTAATGATACCCAGTACTCGTAAAACTAATTCGAGAATCCTAAAACAAGTGCGTAGGCGTAGGCGACGGCGCGATCTGTGAGACAGGGTGGCTTTGGAACATGACACTGTGTCCAAGGTTAATCGAAGGGCTCTCGTTCTTTTATTATATTTTGTGCTTAGACTTTAATATATTGTGTTTAGACATTAATGTGTGTATACGAGTTTTATACTAGTGTATGTTACTTATTATTATGTTATGGGGAGTTGTGGGTGTAAGAATGCATATGTTACTATATATATTTAATCAGGATCACTAGCCGAGTCAATATGGCCTGTCCGTATGAACGCCGAGTTCTTGGGAACTATAACGCTAATAAGTTAAGATTAAGCATGAAGGTTTATAGATGCAGACACCGACGCGGATCAAGTTTTTTTTTTAATACGATTTCCTAAAATCTAACATAAACAACTAACCCATTAAAACTAGAAACAACAATCTGCTTTAATTTTTTTTTCGTCTTCCAGTCGTTAGCAATAAATTTAACCGCTTAAAAGTTACGTTGCTAACGTGGGAACAATTGGCTACGCCCTCCTTTTAGCTGAGTAAAGGGTAACAGATTGTAGACAGATTGTAGAGTTTTAAAAGCATGTAACAATTTAGTAACTTATAACTTACATATGTTTTTGTGAACAAAAAGTTGAATAAAATGTTTAACAGACTAAAGTCAACCATGTCTTATTTACTACCAAGCAGCCCAATTTTTTATTACAAAATGAATTGAAAAGGCATTGCTTAGACTTATAACACACATGTCTAGGGTATAATGAATTGCAATCATAATTTTGTTTTGTCTTTTAGGAACCTGGAAACAAAAAACCCATCAAATACCCAATCAAATGACTCTAAGGACACTTCAAATGATAAAAAAAAACCCCATATTAAGAAACCATTAAATGCGTTCATGCTCTATATGAAGGAAATGCGTGCTAAAGTTGTTGCCGAATGTACACTAAAGGAATCCGCTGCTATTAATCAGATATTAGGACGACGGGTAAGAGAATTAGTACAAAAGTTTGTTTTGTATTTCTAAGAGCGACTTAGGTTAGATCCACATTCTTTCCTATTATAAAAGTTGTAGGCCTTGTAAAATTACCCCGTTCCAGAAGACGACAATTTTAATATATTAAAATCATAAAAAGGGTAGAAATTTACGATATTTAGATAAAGAATACAAAAATATCAATCGTACTTCTAATGGATTAACTTATTAATAATACTTTTGTAGTGGCACGAACTTTCCCGCGAAGAACAAAGCAAATATTACGAAAAAGCTCGACAAGAGCGCCAATTGCATATGGAATTGTATCCGGGGTGGAGCGCACGAGATAACTATGGTTACGTGTCAAAAAAGAAAAAGCGAAAAAAAGACAGATCGACAACGGATTCGGGAGGTACTGCACAAAATTTTCAAAATATTACTCCTCCCTTCTTTTTATTGCATTTCACTTTTGTATTATTTCATTTAATCACTAACATACAAAACGTATAGCACACATCTAACATAAACAACTAACCCATTAAAACTAGAAACAACAGTACATTAAAAATACGTCTTTGTAATTTGTGTACATACATGAAACGTAAAAATATTGTAAGGTTCACAACTAAAATGAGTACACAAATAGTTCTCCACTTTGAAGTTATAAACTTTGATTTGTAGAATTAAAGATAGCTTCGTTGTGTTTAATCATAGTTAGTCACTGTAAAATAGCTTGTAATCTTAAAATTCATAAAAATCGGCCTATTATTAATTTAATTTTATCTTCGTTTTTAGTTAAGTTTTGACGCAGTAAAAAATATCGGAAGTTTCTTGATTGTGAGTCTTACATCGCTAAAGAAATGTTTTTATACATCGCTTGTTAAACTGAAAATCTACTTTTTTTAATGTTTAAATTGAGTGATGGCTTAAAGGATTATAATATTATTCAATCAATATTAGGTTTTTAGTATGAAAAAAAATATATATAAGGACACAAACCACAAACACAATCAACAAATTACAAACAATTTAAAAAAAAATCATTGAAAATCTGTTTAACTAATGGATAGAGTTTATTTGGAAAATTCATTACCTAAAGAAAAACATTTTAAGTCTACGGCCGTTTTTTGTCTTCGCTTAACTTTGGTTTATTCCTTTTTTAATCAAGTCTTAGTTACTTTCTTAAGAAAATTTAATTAATGAAGAGAAAATGGTCCTCAGAAGCTCAGAGGATCAATTTTTAGAATTGGAATATTTACAAACATTTTTAATAATATTTAATTTAAATAGCGAACTACGAACAATTGGCTGTAAAATGGTGTAATTCTAAAACTAAAAATCAAGGCAATCATGAATTAAAATATTTTCCTATATGTTTTATTTATACCAATTTATTGCTAAATTATCAAGCAATCGATGGTAATCAAGCAATCTTTTTAAACTATGTTGGACATCTGAAATACAATTGGCGAAAGCATGCGCCCGAAACCGTAAAAAAGATCGATCAGTCCAAGCTTTTCACATATTGTAATGTTGTCCAATTGTTGACCGCATTATACACGAATTCATCACTTGGAGCTATCCATCTAAGCTAGCATTCGTGATGCACAAGTAAACTGTTGACAAAAGAGTCATATGACACAGTTAACATGCATATGTAAACTGTTGACAAGAGTATCATATGATGCAGTTATCATGTTAAACTAAATATAACATATATTATTTATTTATATAAAGCAAACTTGAGATCGCAATCTAAAAAACAAACTAACTTATATGATGCACAAGCATCAATGGTCTACAATTCGTATAACTTAAAACTATTTTGTAGTATACCTTGGGGTTTTTTTTATAACATTTTAATTTACATATTGTGTATAAATTGTGTTTTTCAAGAATTTTAGGATGTTTTCGCAGTTTTGTTGAGTGGTGTTAGCTAAGACGAAGTATATGGTTTTGGACGATAAAATATATAAATTCTGGCGTGGTAAGTAAATGACATGACATAAATGACATAGTAAATGACAAGTTTTTAGGATCTGGAATACTTATAGAGCGGTCTAAATGATATTGCTGAAATTAGAAATTACTTTATTTTTCTTGTTTTTTTTGGTTATGTCGTCGGGGGCTGAAAACGTTTTGTGGAAGTGTTTCGATGATTGTTAGGGCTGGGGAGCAAAGAGAATCACAACAGAAGGCGCATTACCCAGCAACAGCGACAGATTTCTGTCAGAAGTCTAATTTGATCAAAATCGGATAACTTTATCATATAGCTAGGAAGTCAAAAAATGACTAGCTAATTAATGGAAAAGACTACCGAGGAGTAGATTGTCAAGAATCCGGGCATCAAATTTCTGGAAAAAATTCCTTTGACTACAATTTTGTGCTACCTCTAGTTTGGAATATACATTTTTTAAAATATACAAATATTGTAAAATCTAGATTTTATAGGGTTGCCAATGTTTCCATGTTCCATAAATTAGACATAATCAAATCTGTGATTTGTTTAAAAAAATAAGAATTTGGGTTTGTTCTATATTTATCATTTTTTTTCTTCATTTTATATTTGGCTGCTCCTAAAAACCTTCTTTACATCAAAACTTCTGATTCTACTCTGTTAAAGTATATTGTCATTGAACAATACATATTGCTTGACTACTGTTAAAACGAACGTTGCTCACTGAGGTGCGTTGTTCTGACTGCAATCTGCTCTCTTATTTCTGACTCACTTGATTCAATATAGACATATTGAGACCAGACAGAAATTTAAACTGTTAAAAATTGGAATATACGGTCGAAAATACTTTTTTAAATATTTTAAATTGAGATATAAATTTGTTTAAGTATTTCATTTTATTTGTTATTTGTTAAAATTTTATTTGTTTAAAAGTTTGCGAACTATGTGCATAGTTGATTTTTTCTATATACAAAATTATTTCTTCGTCTTTCTAAATCTTTCTACTCTTAATTTTGGAGCATATGAATTTTTAAACGTATTTTAAATTGGGGTACAAGAGTACAGAATCACATAATAAGAGCTTCTCATACTTGTATATTGCAGAGAGTAAGGTACCATATTATAGGTACAAGGTTTATATCTAGGCATATGTATGTTCTACAGAAAGCTACATTTCATCTTAGTGAAACATGTGCCGTTGTTCATTTTGGTCGATGTTATCTGCCAAGAGCCTTCCCAATATTTTTGATTATCAGGTGTACTCTTGATATGAATATGCACGTGAATACTGTAATGTAGGGATCCTTTAAAAAAACATCTCAAGCTTGTGCTTTATAGCAGAGAATCGACCAGGCAGTATTTTCTGGTCATCTTATTATCGTAAGGATTTTGGCATTTCTGCTTAGATGACTTGTAACCTTCAGAGTGTTTATTGTTTCAACAAATACTTCAACTAATGCAAATCATTTAAATATAGCAAAAAAGTGGCTCATCACACCGAAGTCTCCGTAATCTTTTCGAATGAGCTCTTTTAATTTTAATTATATACTGTCTTTAATTATTTACATATATGTTACATTTCGAAAGGTACAGCAAGGGCTCATGTATGTATGTTTATGGGCTCTGTTTATCTAATGGTGGAGATGGTAATATCTTTGGACAAATGACTATAAAATTTTCTTAAAGTTAAACGAATTAGAGTTTAAGCTTTGGGATCCCTCCATTTTTTTGGCAGGTGATATAGATTAAGCTTAAAAAAACTCGGTTACAAACCTTAAGCCTTAAATTACTATTATAACAGAAACAAAGCGAACGTTTTTTTGATATGGGCTATAGAATAACAGGTATTTTTTTAACTCTTATAGTGTTACCTTTTTTTTTTTTAAACGCAAGCCAAAATACTTACACATGGAAAAATTGGATGTCAACATCGAAAGATATTTATTTATACACTTATTTTTATATTGACAAATGTTGTATTTCTTGATTTAGCTAACAATTTTGTTTTTTCGGATTTATCGATAAAAAAACCCCAAGTTTTTAGAGTCAGCTTTTTTTTTGCTACATTCTAAAAAACGAACTCAGTTTGGAGTGCGCATTCCAAATTATCTTAAAGTTATTAAAAAAAAATTTTGGGTTACTCGAGTACCGCGTTTAAATGGTGTTCAAAGTCCTGGTTAAATATATATGTACATATCAGCGTAGCAATTCGTATCAATACAACTTGAATACTGTTATTATATACTATTTTTCACGAAATATCGCGTTTATCCCACTCCCAGTGGCATGCCTTGGGGCGTGAGGAGCAAGCGAAGTATTACGAGTTGGCGCGAAGGGAGCGACAACTGCACATGCAAATGTATCCTGATTGGAGCTCTCGTACAAATGCCTCTCGTGGCAAAAAACGGAAGCGGAAGCAAGATACCAACGACGGAGGTTAGATACATTTTCTTAAACTAAGCTAAGAACTTCTATCAGTTTAAATGAGGCCAGATATGATTAATTAAATATTATCAAGGTCAAATATAAGAAAATTGATTTACTTTATTTATAAATGTAAAAAAATTAAAAACATTACTTATATATAAATGTATGAAAAATACATATACATATACGCCAGTAAGATCGGAATAAAATTCTGCAAAATTGTGTTAAAGCGATTGGCATAAAAAAAAATCAAAATTAAAAAAAAAATACACTAAATTTATAAATTATAAATATAGATCTACAACTTTTTTAACATATTCATTAACAAAATTTTAATTGCATGAAAAATTTAAACCATATTATCTAAAAGTAAGTCAATTGCATGAAGAAATCAGTACATTGAAATCAATACATTTCGAAGTAGCATATAAGTACTTGCATGAAATTATAATGTCTTATTTTGCAGTTGAATAATTTGTATATACCCGCCACTAGTATAGTAAACTATATCGTATTTTTTCGAATGTTTGAAAAAGTAAGTTCACTGGGTTTCCGATCGTGCCTTCTATATATATTATCTAAATCGGTCTTACCAGCTGCCCGTTTGCTTGTCTGTCCGTATTATTTTACAGGACCCTTAGAGCATGTTTTTTTCCAAGCTCACTTAACTGTTAATAACTGTTAAAAAAAATATACGAATATGGTGTTGCTTTAAATGTGCATAGCGGGTATTGATAAGTCGAGACAGTCGACTGTATGTTGTATCTGACAATATCGCAATAAATATTTTTTTATTTATTTTGTATAACATGTATATTTCCATTATCTTACTATCAACATATAACTAACAAAGCATTAACAATGTCTTCATTAATATGTATTTTATTAAATTTGTATATTACAATTGCCTTTATATCCATAGGTAATAATATGAAAAAATGCCGCGCCCGCTTCGGACTGGATCAACAGAATCAGTGGTGCAAACCGTGCAGGTATGTTTTACCTATATTTTTGTGTACATTACTTTACATATTATTGCAAATGGATTTACAAGATTCACGCAAGGAATTATAAAAAAAAAAAAATAAAATATGTAACTTACATATTAGTGATTAGGATAAACTACAATATTTTCAAAATTCGCGAGGCCTAAAGCATGATTACTTTGTAACCAGTGATGTTTAAAGGAATATTTTCAATTTGTTTTAATGTAATTCATGTGCTCTGACTTTTGATTGATAAATTCCCTTAGGCCGTAATCTATCGTAAAATACATTACCGTACCGTCGATAACGGGAACGGGTTTTTCAACTATCCAAGTCAAATTCAGAACATATTTTCATCTATTTTTAGATTAATTTCAATTTGATTTCTAATGGGGTGAAACGGTACATGACAAATAAATAAAAACGGTTAGAACATGAATTTTAGCCAAAAAATCATAAATCATAAAAGGAAAAAGAAAAAGAAAAAGATTTAGTTTTTCAAAAACTTCTTAATGTTAAAAAATTTTCTGCCATACCTAGGGAAGTACATTTAAAATAAATTTAATTTATATTATATTATACTCTATACATATAGTATACTCTTTATATACAATTATACTCTACGAGCAAATGCGTAGTTAATCGCAGAATATATCTGAACATAACTCAACATATACTCTAGGTTAGATCACTAAACGAGTCGATCTGGCCATGCCCGTATGTCTGTCCGTCCGTATGAACGTCGAGATCTCAGGAACTATAAAAGCGAGAAAGCATGCAGATTCCAGAGACAAAGCGCAGCGCAAGTTGGCTTCCTGATACTGTCACGCCCGCTCTAAAATCTAATAACTGAACACGACTAATGACTTAAATCGGTGCAGAACCAAATTGGTTTAACGAAGGTTAGAAGTCTAGATATCTCCTTTTGATTACTTAACGTAATGCTGCGATTTCTTTATGACTTGCGTGAATTTTGCTTATATCAACTGATAGATACTCTAATTAAAAAATGATTATGCACCTATTAGACTTATTATGAAATCGTCCACATTAAAACACACTGACCAAACATCTCAGAAACACATTATTACATTTACTATAAAATGATTTAGTCCAAACAATAGGACTACTTTTATTAACTGCACGATATGCAACCTTATTTAATACCTTTTAAGACCTTCAACCTCGAACTTGATTTTGTATTTAGTTTTTCAGTTTCTTAAATATTATTTACTTATTTTAAAATTGCGGGAGGCACATTAAAATTTAGATCGTATATAAAATTCATACAGTTTTATTTTAGTCATTTTGACGACATTGTTTTTAATCGTTATTTTCGTGGCACTAGTAAAGTTACTACAATGGCATGTGGTTATGACAATCAAGGTTTAGCCATTTCAACGTAAAAAGTACAGTTCCTGGATAACCAAGCCAAATGTAGGCGCATGAAATTGTAGTTTATGTGGTGTTATCTGCTGTCCGTGACAATAGAAACACCACCCTTCATAAAGTAAGCAGCAGTGAACAAAATATATCAAAAGAATCTAGTTTTATAATACGAATACAAAATGCCACATTTAAGCTTTTATTTAGGATTTTATAGTTTTTAATTTTACAGAGAACATAGCAATGAAAAGTGTTGCACAGGTTTTAACCTTTTTGCTTTTAAGCATATATTTTTGACAAACAGGGGACTTTTTTATTGCATATTTGATATGCAAAGGAACGTAAAATAAAAATGAACAGTTTCGTTTTGTACTTCACTAATCAGCAATAAGAGAGAAGTATCACCTCATGGTATAGTTTACTCCTAGAGGCAAAGTAAGCTTATTAATAGATGTGGATTATTTTCTGTTTTTATATTCCTAGGGCGGGGGCGCTAAAAATAAGGTGTATTTTATAAGTTTTTAGGTAAAATTATTTATGTGTGTCAAAAATACATCATATATAGTTGATACAAAATATTAATGTCTATAAATACATATTTTCCCCATTTTAATAATGACGGTTAATTACATTGTTTTTGACTTTTTATTGACTCTTACCTGACCTATATCTAAGTCCCAATTTGGGTGTCATTTCATCCGTAAGCAACAATGGCAGCAGCATTGGCATCAACAGTAATGCAGCAGTCAACAGCATTGGTGTTGGCATGCTGGCACCTATTGTAAGTGGGGGTACGGTAATGTTGCCCAACTCGTCATCATCGTCCTCCTCATCATCATCCACCTCGTCTTCTCATACACATGTACAATTGATGGCTACCAGTAATGGAAATGCAGTACCATCTTTAAATGGAATAACAGTTACAGCTGGAGGAGGTGGTGGTGCAGCAAGCGCATGTTCACAACAATTGTCTCCCCAGGCACCACCGACATATGTAAATTTATAGATCCAAATAAATGAATTCAGCAACGGAATAAGAACATCCGAAGACCCAGGAATCAATAAACTAAACCACTGATGACCAGTTTTAACATCCTAAAATTGCTTCAACATCCAAACCCGTAAATAACAAATCAAACAATTAAAATAAATGCATATCAGGGTTTACAAATTAGCTCCTGTTTGTGTATATAGACTTTAAAGGCCTATATACATTTACTTATTGCATGAATTTTATTTTTTTGTTGTAGAGTTAATAAAGTTATTTCTGACTTAAATTAAAGATGGGCAATAAAAATATCATATTACTTTTCATATATTACAATATGTAAATAATATGGTTTTGTTTTCTGATAAACTATTAAAGCTTGTTACTGTAAATGTTGTTTTTTTCTAACAACCATTACCAGTTTTGTTATAATATTTCTGGGATTTAAGAAGAGTTTTATGTCAGTTTCATAAAATGCAGTGCATAGTCATATAATAAAAGAAAATTTTATATACAATACTTTTAAAGCAATATTGAAACAGATTCAAGAAAATGTTATCAAGTAGATCTAGAAAAGCTTTTCTGTTTCTCCGTTCGTCTTAGTGTTTATGAGATATCAACACTTGTGTAAACTATTCTTGGCTCCAGCCGACACAGCAGAGTCAAAAATATAATAAATAAAAACAAAGTGATCACTTATTCGAATAATCAATAACATACCTTGTTATAAAGCAATAATTTATAAATTAAATTTTTGTAATGTTTTACTTTTCTGCGCTTTAAATACAATACGTTTTGTTAAACCCTGATATATGTTTTTAAAATGGACTTAATTGTTTTTTTTTTTCTATTTGATGTGTAAAATATATAAAACTATAGAATATTTTCTTTAATGTTTAATTTATTTATATTGAGTTTACTTGTGTTGTTTTTGGTGATGCATTTTTTTTTTTTGCTTTTCATAGTATTATAAGCTCCTATTTCTTAATGTTGTAACAATTACAATATTTATTTGACTTTAAAGTCAAACTGCTTTAAATTTTTGACTCAAACCAAAAAAAAAAAGTGATATTATTCATCCAATACAACGTTAAAGCACTATACATGTTTTCGTTATGTTTTATTTCATTGAACATTAACCACAACAGTTTTTTAACATATCTTCTTAAAAAAATTGTAATCGAATTAGCCAGAAACTGAAAATGGTAAATAAATTCTTACTATGCAATTTTCCTTAGTAATCGGTATACTGTCCAACATGCACGACCAACGTGACATAGTGCGTACATAATGTGAGTAAAGAAGTTTGACACATTGGCAAAATAATGATGGGCGAAAATTGCTTTAGAGTTTGATTTAAAGTACAGTATAAAATCTGCTGAACTGTTTAAAATATATTTATTAAATTGATATTATACAAGGTGTCGGCAAATAAATTTTCAAAAACTGTAAAACTTCAATGTTGTCTTCTGAAATGATTTCAAGCAGATATATTATTTAAGCTTGAATGGTCTGTCAGCAGATTTTGTCGTCAATAATGTTAATCAAAAGAGCTAGTTTTTTGCAAATACTATCTTATAATCTATAGGTCAAACTGCTGATATTTTTTTACCTAATAGGAACATTTTTAAACCCGACTTAACACTTCGGTGGCTTGTAATCGTAAGAAATTAAAGAATACCCATAAATGAGTTATTATTGTTCATTTAAATGGACATTGTTTTAATTTAAAACAAAATATATGTTCACTTTACCGTTTGTTCTGTATTTTTTTTACATTTTCTATACATTTTTTTTGTTGTTTTCTTTTGGTACACCCCTGCAGAGGGTATTATTGACTGACCTAAATAAGAAGTTTGCAATGAAGGAAACATTTAATCAGTCGGTTCGTCGATCCGTTGTCCTTCTGTATGTCCGTCCGTCTCAACTAGTGTCTAAGTGTTAAATCTATCTGCATGAAACTTTCCCAGAAGTCATATTTTTTTTGTAAATAATATTATAGTCAAAGCACTGTATTACATATATAAACAATAATGTACGTCCTTTGTTTTTGATCTAACTTGAGTTATTGTTTTAATTTGATAAATATCGGCAGACTAGGATATATTGGTACCATAGAAACATGGGGAAATTTAAATGAAAATAAAAGAAAAGAATTCGAAGTATTCGTGTTATTTTTATATATAATTAACTAAAATAATTAGGAAGATCAAACATGATTTCATTAAAATAATCCTGCGAAATTCTATTACCCTATCTTATAAAAAAATAATTTTTATTTCGAAGGGCGCCCTAGTATTGTTCCTCTCCCCTACGTGTTAATATTTGTGAAAGTGTTTTAAAGATATTTAAATGACAATAAATAATGTATAAAAAGTCTAATTGAATGTAAATTAATATATTTCCGTTCGCTTTCGGTAAACTGAAAAGGAAGTTTAACTTTGTGATTATTCGAAAGAGAAACTCAATGAAGAATATACTTCGTGCATGCACGTGTTACCAAGATAAAAAAACCAACGAAAGATATCCAATGATAGATAGCCATGGTTTTGATATCAATTTTATAAAATAAACTAATAAAATATACTCATTTCAATGGGCACAAAGTTCGTTTTCGAAAACACACAGAAAAGCCTACATAAAGTCTACATTTTTGGTTTGTTTGTATGACCACAGACTTTGACGAAATAGGTTTGAAATGCATATAAAGCATCTGGATATGCATTTTCAGCAACTGGTATTTAAAAGTTATTTACTTCGGAAATTTGGATATTTGAAATTATTATTTAAATTTTAATATATCGAATATAAACTTCTTAAAAAAAACAACGAAAGATATCCAAAGAAAGATAGCCAAGGTTTTGACATCTATTTTATAAAATAAACTATAAAAAATTTACTCATTTTGATATACTCATTTTTTAAAATATACTCATTTTTTAATTGGTTTCCGAAAACAGACAGAAAAAGCCTACATTAAGTCTAAATTTTTTGTTTGTTTGTATGACCACAGACTTTGAGGAAATAACATTGAAATGCATTTAAGCATCTAGATATGCATTTTCAGCAACAGGTATTTAAAAGTTATGAACTTCGGAAATTTTGATATTTTAAATTTTTTTTTATATTAACAGGCAGGATTTACTTTTAAACTAAAATTAAAATAAATTTAAAAATTAAGGGTTGATTCAAAATTTTTTTTTCAAAAGGGCTCCAATTGATACTCGCAAAGTAATAGGTACTACAATTGCTAAAATATTTTTGTAGCAAATTTTTCATCCGTTCCCTTCTTTTTTATCTTAAACAAATTTACTAAAAATTGATTATAATTGAAATTTTGTTAAGGCATGATCAAAAATAATATTGGATTGCTTACACCTTCGATTATACCACGATTAATATTTTAATATATATGTATCGGATCGGATGACTGTAACTTGTAGCGCTCATAAGAATAATATAATATATTTATAAATTCTTGGTAACTCCAAATTTACAAAGTTGCAATACGTTACTTACTGTAACTATACTTTTTTCCCAAACTTTTTTCTCGTCGGATTAGTAATAAGTAATTTAAACCGAACGCGGCAGCCAACGCCACACTTTCGTTTAAGGTGTCAGTGTCGCGGCAGAGCGTCGGCAAAGCAACTCCCGGACTCGCGAGGCGGTAATAAAAAAAAATCTCGCAATATAGGCATGCTGTTTATAAGATAAAATTGTTTATCTGTTGTGTAATTCTTAAGGCTGAAATCATTGCTGCATGAATATTAAAATATTTGTTTACGGAATGCAAATACTTGGCACTGTTTGTTAATTATATATAAAAATAATTCTTATATTTAACTATATTTATTTGATTTTCGTTTTTACATAGGCGCAAAAAGAAATGTATTCGTTATATGGAAGCCCTGAACGATAATGGGCCCGCCGAGGACGGAAGTGGTTTTGATGAACACGGAAGTCAGTTAAGTGATGACGACGAAGATGACTACGATGATGATAAACTGGGCGGAAGTTGTGGAAGTGCCGACGAAACAAATAAATTAGAAGACGACGACTCAGAATCACTAAATCAATCCATGCCCAGCCCAGGCTGTCTTAGCGGATTGTCCAGTTTACAGAGCCCATCGACAACAATGAGCTTGGCAAGCCCACTTAACATGAATGCCAATTCAACAACCAGTGTTGTATTTCCTGCTACTTCTAATGCGCTTTTAATCGTCAGCGCAGACCAGCCGACTGCACAGCAACGGTCCACATTGGTGTCAATCGCGGGATCGAGCAGTGGCTCAACCAGTAGCATGAGTACAACCCCAAATAGGTCAAGTACACTTTCGCCAGTTACATGTACGACCGGCCCGTGTCTAGGTTCATCTCAGGAACGAGCCATGATGCTTGGAAATCGTTTTAGTCACTTGGGAATGGGGATAAGTCCTCCAGTAGTTAGCACGAGCAGCAGTAAATCTGAACCATTTTTTATGCCTCATCCCACAATTTGCAATAATCCTATCTTTTCATTGCCATCAATTGGTAATTGTAGTTTAAATAATTCTCCAATGGCGAACACATCCCGAAACCCTATTGGTGCTAACCCACGAGATATTAATAATCCCCTTAACATCAATCAGTTGACTAAAAGACGTGAATATCAAAATATTGACATGATTGAAGCTAGTGAGTCAAAGACTATAGTTGCCCACGCCGCTACATCCATTATTCAACATGTAGCAGTGCACGGCTACCACGCGAATCACTCGCTTTTAAATAGTAGCTTAAGCCAACATTTTCATCACCAATTAAATAACCGTACGGAAAAACCCAATAGAAGTGAGCAGACAATGCTGTCCGTAAATAGTCATTCTGTAAATAGCAGTGAATGCCATAAAGAATCTGATTCGCAGGCAATTGCATCTAGCAAGACTCCAAACGCTGCATCTAACGATAACGGCGTTATTAGCGTTTCATAACGGATTGCAATGGATTTGTAGAATTGATTCATCAAATTTTAATGTTTATGTGTGAGAAAATAATTAAAATAAAAACATACGTGCAATAATTATTATTCTCGCCAGCCCAAGCCATCTTATGAAACAAGAGGCCATCAAAACTAGTGCCACGCTTACATCGCAATATTTCGTTTTTGTTTTTTTAATATAAAAAAACATTACTATAAAGTACACTGAGTCATAGAATTTGTGCACAAAAATATTTAGGAACAATTCCAACAGAGGCCAACCTTAGATATTTCTATAAAGAAACATGACTCAAATCTCAATCTTGGCCGTGCCAAATAGAATAAACAGACACACTAAACTTAAGTTACATAAATACTTATATTGCTTTTGACACCTCATCAAATACTACTTTCATCCAGGGGTATAGACTTCAAAGCTCTATGGGTATATCAATAAAACAATTTTGTATACTTTTCTTTTTATTTTGCTTAAAATTATGGTTATTATTTTTTTTACAAAATTGTTTTTTTTTTTTTTTTTTAATTGCGATACAACTTTTGAAAATCTATATTAATAATGCCTCTCCGGCAAATATTTGGTTGTGAATATAAATTGTTTCTGCACTAAAACTATGAGAAGGCCGAAATATATGGATTTCGAAGATTAACGAATCACTTATTTAGCCATTAATTTGGTCGTTTGTCATTTATTGACTGTTTCATTAAAGAAGACAGAATTTAACAACGTCTAATATCATAACGCCACCCTCAACCCCCGTGACGTGTATCTAGCCTCAGGATTTAAATTAAATGTATCATATATATTTTAATTTTTCAATATCCTGAAACATTTATATTATGTATGCAATGCCAGGACAATGAGTGATTAAACTTAACAAAAAGGATATTGTTAGTTCCGAAGAGATAAAGACCACAAAAAGTTACCCAATCTAAGAGTCTGTGGGTGTTATGGCACAAGCCGCTTGGATGACCCCGGACACGCCGCCATTCGCATTAAAACATTAAATTTAACCTTGCTTGTAATGATAACTATAAATTGTTAAAATGTAACATGCTTAAAGTATATGATTTCACTTTAAGATAAATGATTCTATATAAATTAGTTCACTACCTCTAGAAAGTTAACGAATTAAATGGTTCATCATATAGTATGCCGAAAAAGCCGGTCTTATGTTTATTTTATTTGAATGATACGTAATGATACATAATTTTTTAATATCCCACAACATTTAACATAACTACCTAATTTTTATATGGTTATAGAATATAACTAATCCAAAAGAAATTATGAAAATACAATTATGTTTAAAAAGATACATTCTCAAATACGACTGCACGTGCACGTAGAAAGTTCGATACCGTTTTCTTTGGTTAATGGCAGACAATAATTTATTTTATATATTTTCACAGCTTAGGCTTCATAAGCAATATTTAATGATTGCATACATACAAGAAATTCATTTATAATTTATTTTGAATTCATTCCTAATTAAAAAATTGTAATAATATATATTTTATTATTTTAAATTAAACCTGAAATAATATATGTGTACAAAACATATATAACAAACTAAATGTAAATATGTATTTTCTTACATAGAACGTACTGATAATCCTTACGAATTTATTGACCATAAGACCTGATAGCCTTTATTCCGTGTAAAACTTAAACTCCTAATGAAATACCATGTCTACAAATTAAGAAATAGTTACCTAGTACGAAGAAATAGATCATATTTAAGCATATATGCAGTTTTATACTAGTCTCCATTCAGTTATTAAACATTTAATTATTTAATGTACAAATGTATTTTAAACCTCAATTTCGGGCTTGTCGTACACGGTTATACATTTCACTAATATATAAAATGTTTTTAATTTGTTAGCTATTATACAGATTTTAGGTTTTATTATCTAAAATCTTGGATGTTTGTTTATATATGTACCCTGTACTTAAAATACATATCTTGATTTTCCGGAACAACTATCCTAAAGATCCTATAATACTAGAGCCTTATGTAAATCCATCGCATACAAAACATATTTCACAAAAACATATAAAGAAAAGTATAATGAGGCCAATTTACAGGCTCTTAATTATAATACTCTCCACTCGTAGATTAATAGGGTATAGGGATTCGTTGAAAAATATGTAACATGTTGCCGATCCTATAAACTATATATTTCTGATCTGGATCTCTAGTCGAGTCGTGTCCGTCAGTCCGCATGAACGCTATGACCTCGGGAACTATAAAAGCTTGAATCTGAGACATGCATATTATAGTGACACCTACTCTAACGCTCACAAACAGGGCAAAGCTACCACGCCCACAATTAAAAAAAAAATATTTAATTTTTTTCTTTATTATATTATTTATAGATAATTACGAAATATTTTGAACGTAACATCTACCAACAGTTCAATACATTTGACAATTTTTCTTTTTTTTTATATTTTTATATTCGCCTTGCCAATTTTAATTGGCAAGCTAACAAAATTTTGAAATATTTTCCTAACACACTGAGCTGACCAACGGGTAGAGAAGGAAATCGAGTAATAGCGTTCGATTTAGTTTTTTAAATTTATCTAATACTTTATGAAACATGAAAATATAGAAAAAATGGTAAACAACAATAATAATATTTTACTTTTTTATCTTAAAATAAAAATCTTAATTTATTTGCCAGTTTTTAAATAAAAACATTTTTAATATCCTCCTTTAACTAATTTACAGTATTGTTAAATGTTGTTGGAAATATATAAAGAAAGTATTTAATAACATAAATAACGTAATATTTTTGTCAATAAAATTATATATAAATATAAAGTATTGTGCATACTATGTACTTCTTTTTTTCTTTATTGCCTTTCTCAAGCTTTACGTTAATAATAAAATTTGTAAAATATTGTAATGCACAAATTTTTAAAGAGGACATAATATATCTATTTCGATTCTTAACTGCAACATTTTAATTTCCTAAATTATATGAAAAAGGTGAAACAAACGTTAAAAATGTTCTTATAGCTTCATGTTTTAAAAATAAAGCGAATTAATAAGTTCAGTGTATTTAAACTATGAAACTATAATAAAATGCATATCTACAACTAATTAAATGATAAAAGTAGTAATAAAAAAGTGTATTGCAAAAGTTTTCTATAACTACAAAGCACATGAAGATATGCGTTTCTATGCTTGTCAGAAAATATAATTAAAAGGAATGAATTGGTCTCAAGAAGTTCCACACTTTATGAGAATATTACTCGTATAGGTTGACTCAATCAAATGTATGTAACTCATATTGATTAAGTTCTCTAGCCGAGTCTGTCCGCAAAGACATGCAGATCTCTGTTTCGCCAACACTTTTAAAAAATGTGCGAATCATAAAAAAATTTTTCTAGGTACTCCATTTATTTAGAAGTTTTATATAAACTCCGACTTAAAAGATTTTAAAGCCAATAAATGTTGGCGCCATTTTTAACATATTTAATAATAATTTCAATAAGCTTTCGCATTAGTAAGCTAATTTTCTTTTTATACTCGTTACTTGCGTAAAGTAATTGAGTACTAGAATCGCTGAAAAGTAGCAAAAAAGCGTTTTCGATTCTAAAAAAAATATCAGGAGCGATAGCCGAGTCGATCTGGCCATGTCCGTGTGAGATTTTGGAAACTATAACAGCTTGAAAGTTGAGATTAGATATGCTGATTTTAGGGACGCTGATTAAACTTGTTCACAACGTTGTCACGCCCACAAACCGCCCAAAACTGTCACGCCCACACTTTTGAAAATGCCAATTTCTATTGATATGCCAAAATTGTTAAACTTTCTTGTTCGTACTCCCACTAGCTGAGTATTCGGGTATCTGAGATTCGAGGAACTCGACTATACCATTATTTATTGTATTTTATTTTAAAACAGACAGACAATTTTTTATAATTAAAAAAGGGATATTGCTTAACTGTTTATATTATACGAAATTTTCATATCTTTTTAGATGCTAACACTTTTTTAAATATTTCTAACAATTGATATTTGACAACACATACATCTGCATGCATTTCATTATGATCAAAATTCCAATCTTTACATAACGTGCAGAAATGCTTTCCTTTTTTCCGTTGAAAGTGTAGCGCAAAGTTTTCATGACAAATGTTTATAGTTAAAAAAAAATTTTTGAAAATACAAAATCAACATATATAAGCAAATATGTCTTTTCGTATACAAATCGTATACAAATGTCTTATAAGCAATATTTTATAAAATGAGACCATAATAAAATTACAATGATATCCAAAAAAATTTTAATTAATGAAGATCATCGGACGTTACATTTACAACAAGACCAGAAATTCAACAAATATACTGCTGTGATAAATCTAATTGACGATTTATATAGGGCTCTAGTCACATAAAAACATAAGATTATAGGATTATATATATAATTATGTATAAATATACAAAATATTTATATGCATATGTATATGTATATGTATATTTATATGTATATGTATATGTATATGTATATGTATATGTATATGTATATGTATATGTATATGTATATGTATATGTATATGTATATGTATATGTATATGTATATGTATATGTATATGTATATGTATATGTATATGTATATGTATATGTATATGTATATGTATATGTATGTATATGTATATGTATATGTATATGTATATGTATATGTATATGTATATGTATATGTATATGTATATGTATATGTATATGTATATGTATATGTATATGTTACACATATAAACATTTTTAGAATATGTGTTATAATAGTTTGGTTGTCCTGATTATATAAACAAACAAACAAAGTAATGTATTAATTATTTAATCAGAACAATGTATGAGGCCATTGCCAATTTAAAAGACTGTTTAATACATATTTTATATGTTTACTCCGAAAATTTTGTCAATACATACATAAATAGCTATATAAAGCTTTAGTCTTTAGGTTTAGTACAATTCGTTAATGTGTAATGTGGGTATGTATGAAAATTAATAGCATAAGTTTTATTACATTCTATTGATGAAAAAAAATTCTGTGTTTCTTTTGTGCTTCCATTGTGTTTACTGTATTTGTAAAATTATGCTTATTATTCAATCGATTTCGCAATTTTATTTGTTTGATTGATTAATTGTAAAAATTAAAACGTCTATTTGTATGATGTAAACTTATGTGTATAAGAATTCTTTAAATAAACACTATAATAATAGTACCCCATCAAATCAATAAAATGGACCCACAACGAATATGTGAACTTATTTGTATATACATAAAATATACTTTCTAGGAGATATACATTTTTATCAGAATGGTAAAAAGTTTAACTTATTAATGGAGCTATGCTTAAAATTAATATTTAAAAATTAAATTTAATATTTATGGCATAATTATCATTTCTAATACCGCAATATTAATTATTATGTATCTGTCGGCTGAAGGATTCTTAGGCTAAGATAAGGTAGTAGAAAGGGTTGACAATGTTGTACTAAATCCATGCAGATATACAAATTTCTAAAATTAAGATAATGGTAATCAGAAATATAAAATTAATAAAATAGAATATATACACATAGGTATTAACTAATGTACGAAGTATAGAAATAATGCAAACTTACTGAAAAATAAAAAAATAATGTTGAAACCATTAACTTTTTATGTACCAATATAATGCAGAATTATTGATAAAATTTAAGCGTCATTTAGCCAAAGTAAGGGAAAAGTTGATGAATATAAGAAGCAACAGCGATGCATTTTGGCGTAAGAATTGGATAAATTACAAGAGAGAAATATATTTAAATATATTTCAGCCAGTGGGAGTGCTTTGAAAATATTGCAATATTTTTTTGTCATAGCGAAAGATTGACAAAAGAAATAGCAAAATCAAAAATATTTTAAACCATTTTCAGAAGTGTGAACCGCACCTCCTGCTAAACCGAGCGTAGGTTATACGTACATACATATATCCAAAGTAGAAGCCATATTGGAAAAAAGTATAGAACGAGGAAAAAATATATATTCAAAAATATAAGTTCTAATTTTGTGATAAAAAAGTTAGTTTCTATCGCTTTAAGAGTGACAAAGGGCCTTAACTGATGATGATACTAGATGATACTAGGCTTATCCCAGTACTAGCCAGAGG